GACATGATTGTATCAATTTTTCAGTTTGCACAAATGAAAAAGAGAAAGAAATAGATGAAATTTATGCTCACCAAATTGTTAGATGGATATCTCGACCTGAAATTATATGGAGGATTTTTTCCTTCAATCTGTCAGATATTTGCCCGACAGTGTATTCTTTACAGCTCCACGTCGAAAATTATCAACATGTAATACGACAATGAAGATGATTTATCTACTGTTGTTCGGAACGAAAATACAAGAAAAATAATGTTGACATAATTTTTTCGAATGAATGAATCAAATGAGTTTGCTCGTACACTTTTACATCGAGATTTCCCGACACATTTTGTTTGGAATGCAAATAAAAAAAGTTGGACTCGCAGAAAGAAACAAGTTTTTATAGGACAAATTGTTACAGTAAATCCATCTAAAGGAGAACGATATTTTCTTCGTGTTCTTATGAATCATATTACTGGTCCAACATCATTTCAGGGTTTACGAACCTTAAATGAAGTCACTGTTGTCACGTATCGAGAAACAATCATTTTACATGGTTTATTAAGTAGAAATAACCACTGTGAAGAATGTCTATCCGAATCTATTGTTTATGAAATGCCTATTTCTTTAAGACGACTCTTTGTTACATTTCTTATTCTTTCTAGCCCTAATGATCCAAAGTTATTATGGAATAAATTGAAATTTTATATGACTGATGATTATATACATAAAAATATACCTTCACATATTGCTGAAATGTGGGCTCTAGAGGATATTAGTTGTATCTTAGAATGTTTAGGCAAAAATATAAATAACTATAAAATGGTATCATTCAATGTAGATATAAATGAAAATGATAGATTAAGCAGAATACTTGAAGATGAGATAACAAATTTGAATATTGAAGCAGGCTATGTTTGTGCAGCAAGTTTAAATGACAAACAACAATTTGCATATGATATAATTATGAAAAAAATAACAACGGGATCAAGTGGTGCTTTCTTCATTGATGGTCCAGGCCGCACAAGTAAAACTTTTTTGTATAAAGCATTGCTAACTGCTGTAAGGTCTGAAAATTCTATTGCTTTGGCAACTGCATCTTTTGGAGTATCTGCATCTCTTTTACCTGGAGGTCGAACAGCTCTTTCAAGATTTAAAATTCCTCTAGAAACAGCTGATGAAGTTATCTGTTCTGTTAGTAAACAATCGGCTCATGGGACTATGTTAAA